ATACCATGTGACATTACTCCTGTGCACTCTGCCTATTAGATGGCTTTGACATTATATTGGTGCCAATACTACCTGCATTTCAGGGGATACGCATCTCCATGTTCTCTTGAGTGGTGGTAATAGTGTGATTTATACAAGCATGGACTCCAGCCAGACTGCCTTTGTTCACTTGCCCTTTCCAATAGCTGCTAATGAGGTGAACTTTGGCTAGTCATTCTCTTCCTGTAAACTGGGAATAATAATTGTACTTATCCCATAGAATTGGTGGGAGAGAAAAGGCATTTACCACAGTTCCTGGTACTTAGTAATACTCTATAATCTCAACTATTTTTCTTTTCCATGCATATGCAGAGAGACCATTTTTATTTAGCCTTTAATATTCACATCTTTGTAGACTTTGTGAATACAGGCCAGATATTTTAGAAATTGTATAAAAAGGCAATATCTGATGAGTCTGAAATCAGCATTAGTTCCCTCCCTACAAAATGCTGTTTCCTGAGATTTAGTTGGTGTGTTCATGGGATTACTCCTGCAACGTATGAAAATTTGCAGGAGTGTTTGTGGAAACTGTGTGCTTTGCCCAGCACTTATTTATATAAGGAATTTTATGTGCTTTTGAGCACTCATTTTCTTAACTCAAAGTTTACATTTTAGGAATCTTGAAACTATGTATAAAATCTCTATACAACTTTAAAAGAAGTCTTAATGAAATGTTATGGGTGAGATCAAGGAGATTGTGAGCCAAAATGAAACTACCACAGTGAATATGGATAGAGAATCCTTAATGAAGAAAATAACTATTGGAAATGAGAAAAGCTAGTTCTTCTGAGACTAATCAAATACAAGGACTGGATGTGAATAATCAATAAGATCTAATCAATGTGCAAATGCATATCATAGGAAATGTATTAAACGGTGAGCACTGGAATGAACTTGGATACTGTTCTCATATTGCACACACATTTTTGTCCATCCAGTAACCAGCTGAGTCTTTCATATTTTGATGAAGACAATTCCCATAGTCTTCCCAGTGACCTCGAACAAGTTGCAAGAACAAATTTGTCTGTTTCTGCTTATAACTCCTGAAGCTTGTCAACTATAAATTGACTCACTATTGGGTACATTTATTTTGTGTTTCATGTGATAGCTTAAACACACTACACTGAAATTTGCCTAAACCATATTATTTTAATTTATCATAATTTATAAGTAATATACAGATAAAACAAATTTCTTAGTCTAATGGGTGATGGAAATGTATTCTAAGAGAGATGCCTTTGCAAAAGTGTCCATATATTTATTATGTTTCAGCCTTATTACAAGGTAATGCACACACCTAAATTGTATACTACCAAGCAAATAGTTGCTTTACTTAGACGGCTTTATGTTATTTATAAATGATCCCTACTTACCTAGGAAAAGAAGGCTTCTACTAGGCCTACTTGGAGGATAATAATTTAAATTAGATTAAACTTTGAATGTAATGAATATTTGAGGGGGAGGCTATATAGCTCATTGGTAGAGTGCATGCTTAGCATGTACAAGGTCCTGGGTTCCGTTAAAAAAGGAAGAAAGAAAGAAAGAAACTAATTACCCCCCCCCCCTGCCAAAAGAAAGTAACATATCTGAAAATAAAGACATTTGTAGTATAGAATCATTAGACCATTCTGTTTTACTGCCTTAATTATTTTAATGTAAGATTTTTTTTTCCCTTGAAGAGTAAATGATGAAATCAATATAGTTTAACTTTTTAGCTGTGAGTTTCAACAGTGGATGTAAACTTTTGGCCTTGGGGGATGAGAGAAAGTAAACCTATATATAAACATAAAATATATTCATGCATATACACTCAGATATTGCACGTAGTTTTTTAAATTGCTTAATTTTGACAGAAAAAAAATCCCTGAACATATTGCAAAAAATTCATATATCTTTCAGTTATATGTGTATATTTCAAAATCTGATGAGATTTGACTGTAAAATGGGCATTTAATATGAGGAAACAAAGCTTTTTTTTTTTTCTTCTCATTTGTAAACCAGTATAAACTTCCAACTTACTTACCACTCTTAAAGGGTCTGCAATCCTCTCGTCTGCCTGTAAACTTATAGTTCTTTTACCTTTGTCTATTTCCTTTACATTCAGTGGAGGAATTTAGCTGATTCTACTTCTGTAGAATTTCCTGAATATTGTTCTTTTCATTGGTAGCTCCAGCCTGTATTGCCTTTTGTCTAAATTACTCCAGTGGCATTTCCACCACAAAAGACAGTAGTTTTCAAAGACAGCTTTGTATCAGCATCACAAAGAAATAGGGCTCTGTGCTTTTTAACAGCTTCTGATGATTTGATGGGTGACAGGTTTGGAAGCATTGGTCTTATAGAATTAATATTGGGCCAGGGGTCAAGTGCTTTGGGTTATGGTTTAACTATTAGTAATTAGCTTATTGATTTTATATCCTGGTTCTTCGGTTTATTTGTTCAGTATGTTTATATTTTACATGTCACAACCAATGACTTTGTGAAGACACCTTTAAAGGATAAAAATGATCTAATGGTATAAGTCAGTATTACTTTTATCTTGAACTTGACACTGTTTTTAGCCGTTAACTCAGTCCTAAGCTCCTCAGTGTGTTGTTTTTATTTTCTTTATTAACTAAATAATTCTTTTAAACTTCCTTCTATTCGGTGTGCCAGTTTCTTATTTGAAGGTTTGTGTAATCCTCTAGAATCAGGTTTTGCTGTTCTCTTTGGATTTGTTTTTTCCACCTCTGGTTGTTTACTTTATTCCATTCCTTCCCTAGACTAGCCCATGTATTCTGCCTTTCCAAATCAATTTCCTTCTTCAAAATGGCTTAGAAGTTCCTTCCTTATTGAAATAGCGTATGATTAAACATCGATTTTTCACATAGCCTCAGAACTTACATCTGCTGTTTTATTCTTTTCTTATTATCCTGTTCTCTATTTCTATATCTGCATATATGTATGTACACATACATGTAATTTGTTTTCTCTTCATAATGAGCATTCTTGAATTTGCAAGCAAGAAGCAACCTTCGAGATCATCCTTGTCCAATATTCTTATTTTAGTTAACAAAATTGAATTTTAAGGAAGTTATAGGTTGCCCAAGATCATGCATCTCTTCATGTTAGTAAAATCTAAGTCTCCAGAATACCAGTTCGCTCATTCTCATCGCAAATGAGATCTGTCCTTGCTGAAGGTGTAAGAAAACATTATTAGTAGAGATGTTTTTATTTGCAGTATTTCTCGTGACTGTGGATAGTCTTCCAGGGATACTGTTCTCCTTTTGTTTGTTTAAATTGTTAGACTCACAATTGTTGTTTGAATTAAAAATATTTGAGTATTCTGTATTTGAAAGATACTATTTTAAACATTTTATTTGCTTAACAGCTTGTTCTGGTTTAACCCTTGTTTAACAGTCCTATGAGGTATAGGTATTCTGTATTTGAAAGATACTATTTTAAACATTTTATTTGCTTAACAGCTTGTTCTGGTTTAACCCTTGTTTAACAGTCCTATGAGGTATAGATACTATCATTATTCCCAGTTTTAGCTGAAGAAGTGGATGTTAACTAGGCTGTCTGATGTCGTAAGTGGCTGAAACAATAATCAAGCTGAGATGTTTACCTTCTGTTTTATCCTCTGCAATATACGGACTTCACGCTGAAGTTGGGAGAACTGTGGTAATCAACTGGCTCCAACCTTATTATTTTTAAATGTGTGGAAACTTGGTGATTTGGCCACATGCTGATTAAGAGAAACAAACCATCTATTTTTAACTGTAATTACATACAGAGTGGATAAAATAAATAAATATGGTAAATAGCATCCTGAATAAATAGGTGCCCTGTTTTCAACTGTTTTTGCTTGCTTGCATTTTACATTTACATGTATATGTGTATATGTTTAACCTAGAAAGATTTCACATTCTTTTTAGGATATACTTTTCCATGAAGCAATGCCATTACTTTTATCAAGTTCAATTAATATCTCGGATGTGATGCTGATATCCCTTCTTTCGTCATTGGTGTATCTTCTTTGGTCATGATATAGCACAAATATTTCTTTTCCTTTAATCCTTTAAATTCCTTGATTCATATTCTTTTTTTTTAAATTTATAAAGTAGAATATATTCTTTTTCCCCCCAAAAGATGCAATGCATTTTTTTTAAAGATTTGATTTCAAATATAAAGTAAGATTTGTGGACAATGCTTTCAGTAGAAAGCCCCCAGGTATAGCACTTAATATTCATATTTTTAATAATCACTGTAGGAAATGGATAACATTTTATCTCTAGTTTTTCTGAACAATATTAAATCTGATTTTCATGGAATAATCAGAACCCATAATTTTTAGTAACCATAACATCTGTGGTCTCTGAATCTGTGGGTTTTTTTTTCAAAATCCAAACACTGTGAGACTTCTGTCATATTTTTATTCTACAATTGAGAGCTCCATAAAAGAGCTGGAGCAGCTTCCATTTTTTTATTGTTGATCATGATATTTTTCATAGATTTTACTGTGCTCTCTAGGCAATTAAAATCATAAGGCTAAAATAAACACATAATTTAAAGTTTTTTTCTTGAAATTATTTTATTTCAGTAACTCAATAAATTGTATGGTTCAATTATATTATTTATGTGTCAAATTGATACATTTGTGGCAGTGGAGCTATATCTCCCTCTTTTGGAAAGCAGAGGCATGGCATTTTGATTGAGATTAAATTATTCATTACAGTTTCAGTTTTCATAATTTCCTGAGGATATAGATGCAGAAAGAATATTTTTCTTTGGAATGGTTTTCTTTTGGAATTTCACAGCATTAATAACAAAGTTAAACTTCCATATGCATATGCACATATATATTTGTTGAGGTTCGAGAACTACAGGCTGTTTTATGAGTTTCAACCCAGGAAAACTTTATTTTGATATTTGAAATGTTTTTATTTTTATTTAAAGAGAGTCAGTTTTACCTCTTTCGTAATTATTAAACATGATTCATAAAATATTTTAAAAAACAGAACTTAAGAATTAAGAAATATGGAAAGAAAATAGCAAAGTAGCTCTTCTCAAAATTAACACCCTGGTGCTCACTACTACCATCCTCTGTTTTGGTTTTTGTCAATATTCTTCCTGATCTACTTCGAGGCAGTTATAGACCATCTTTCTCCTTGTTTCTCTGTCTCTCTCTGTACTTACATACTTTTAAAAAATCATAAAAATGTGATTATTCTATGCCTGTTGGTTCCCAATTTCCTAATCTCAAATCTCAAAAGGCACATTGCTATTTTACTTACTTAAATAAACTCCATACTCATATGAATGGAGTGATATCTACAAGCTGAAAATGAATATTTACTCTGGCTAAGCATTCTACCTTGGCATAACTGACTATTATAAAAAGAAATAAAAGCTTATTAATATACTTAATGGATATCTCACAAATCTGTTTCTTTTAATAGCTAATGTAATTTTATGATAATGTTGTACTTTCTTGAGGTATTAAAATCAATGTATGGCCTTCACTACCATTGCTTAGAATGGTAAGTTGTCTACCGTCTTTGCTGCTTGCATCTCTTTCAAGTGCTCTGAATTTACTTGTAAATTTTTTAGTGGTGTTGAGTGTCTTGCTAGATATGGTCTTAGATTTTATTGTGTACTCCTTTGTAACTTTGTATATAGACTATGAAGAGGTACTTCAGGTTTAAAGATTTTCAATTAACTGTTACCATATCCCAAGACGACTAATTAAATGTAATATAAAAATAAAGTTTGCAAGAGTGAAAGTAGGTTGTTTTTCTTTAAACATTATCATGTCTAACATCAATTTGGTAGTTTTCATTTGTTTAATTTTCGTAAATTACTTGCAGAATGTAATTATTTAATCAGTGTTCCTAAGAGGTTGAAATCACTACTTCAGCCTATAGTATCTAAGTGAAGCTCATACAACAATAATATAGGTGAATATATATGTGTGTATATATAAATATATGTATTACTATTATGAAACATGGTTGTGAACTGGCTTTGAATTTAAGGGGAAAACTCAGAATAGGCTTTATTTTATATACAAATTAGAATTTAATGAAATAGTATAAATTAAAGAATATAACAGGTAATGGCTTTTGTTTGTTGCCTTTGTAAATAAGTGTCATTGATATTTGCATATTTATATTGAACAAGATTTACTCTGTCATTCTGCTAAATATTTTTAGTTTATGATGACCAATTAATTCTATTTCATTGACTTAAGAAGTCACATTTGCAAACAGTCATGTTGAGAGGTTTGAAGTGATGATAATAATGAAATAATAATCCATTGTATCTTACACTGCTAATTACAGTGGGTGATTTTTATAAATCTCTGTTCATGCAAATATTTCTGTCATTCTTTCAAATGAATCTGTAAGTCAGACATGAAAGTACACCTCACTCACCTCTAAATCTTAAAACATTATTTCTGGCAAATAGGTAATTTTACTTTGGGTACTTTTAATAAATATTTGTTTGATGATTAAAGCAGTTGTAAG